AAAAGAATTTGCAACTTCTCCCACTAGGATTTGGATTGAGAATGACTAAACATATTTCATATTTACAGCCAGGGGAATGGACACTTTCCAAATTAGATATGATCAGACTGGGACTGTTCTAGGCCGTATGGCCCAGTTACTCAGTGGATAAACTCCCTGTATTATTTTGGTGCTTCAAGTAGAAGTCGTATTCACAAACATCTAGTAATACAAAAATGCATTGAACACTTTTAGAATTGTAAAGGAAGCTCGTGCTCAGTTATAGATATTCAGCAAGTAAGATGAATGTGGAAGATTGTCCTTCATTTTATTGTTTGTGGTACTGGGAAAAAAATGTTGCTTTAATAAAAATTAAACCTGAGTTGTAAAACCATCACTAAGGAGGGGTAGATTACAGACTTGGATCATAGCCAGAATGCCTCAAATTATCTTGTTGCTCTAATAATTACAAAAGCACAATTAAGCCTTGTATCTCATCTATGTGTTATGCAAATAACTGTTTCACCCCTTAGGTCTGCTCAACATACGTCTTCATCAAGCTCATTTCTTTGACACAGACAGCAACATTTTACAGTCATTATGAACAGGCTTAGCAGTTTAATTATTTTCCCTTTCTAATCGTACTGTACATCGTTACTGTCTGCAATGGAAAAAGACATCCAGAAGCTTCAATGAGGTCAGATATATACAACCCTTTGATGGGATTAACTTCACAATTTATCTTAACTTCCACGGTTCTTTGTAATTTTATGCAGCCTCAGGCACTTGCAAAGAGCATTAATGTTCCCCCTTCCGCCTTTCCATTTTTTGGAAATAGGTTTCCATTGTATAGCAATTCAATAATACACCCAACCTCGAGGCTGTACTGTGGAACAGTGTGTACTTCAGTTTTAAGCCTGCCACCCTCACAGACCAACACTTAATGCAACAAAACAGAACCCTAAACGAAGGAATTGTCTCGGTCATGTCCAGAATCACTGAGGACCACTGTAACTCACTAATATTTTTATATTAAATGAAAAGACCACTAGTCAAACTCACCGTTAAAAAGGATTGCAAAACAAACCTACTTCGTGCAGACAAAACTACGTTGCAATATATTTCTGTATTGGAGACATTTTAGATTAGAGAACAAAAGTGGTTCAATTCTGTACGGACATCCACTACCCCTCAGGGGCTTATTCATTCATTCATTTATTCATTCATTCAGAACCATCAATAGAGTGTGCATAAATTCATCAATGTTCTAGGGGGTAAGGCCAAGCGTAGGATTAAGCCACATACGTTCGAGCCCCAGTCTGGCCCACTACTTAGGGTGTTACAATTGGGAATGAAATTCTCCAAAGTTTCCACTCAGGAATGTAATCCAGTGATTCTTTCAGTGAATAGGACGGGGAGGAAATATGAATAAGCTGTGATTTCCTTCTCTCTTTCCCCTTCCTCTCTCCCCCCCTCCCACCCCCGTGAATTATCCTGCCACCGCTCACTACTTGGCCTCATGCATGAAGAATGGCCACTTGGGCAAAATACTGGAGGGCAGCTGGCATCAAAGGAACTGCACTCTGACAAGAGTGCGAACCTTCAAGAGAGGTGGAGGAGGGGAAAAGGTGTAGAAATTGCCAAAGAAAATAAAGTCACAATTTGTGGTGAAGAATATTTCTCCAGATTATATGGCGTGCAAAGCAAAATGCTACTTTTGCAGCAGGAGCAAACAAAACTTTCATGTTCTAATGCACTGCGTACAACTGTATCAAAGGAGCAGCCAATACTTTATATAACTTACACATAAGATATATTAAGTGTCTCAACCAAAGTATGCACCAATATATTATGCATTATTCCAAACTAAAAAGGAGACAACCTGCAAACTATTCCTTTATATGGTGGCATGATGGTCGGGACTGATGCAGCGCTGAGTAACTGGACAAACATCAAACAGAAATCTTAATGTGAGGCAACACAAGGTATCTGATTCTGTGCCAGAGTGTGGTCCAATGGCACACGTTTCCATTAAACAGCTTGAAATATAAATTCAACCATGTGTAAAGGCTCAGCGCATGTTGCTAATGGTGCATTTCAATCTATTAACGCAGCTGACGTCAAAAGGCTATTTGGGAGAGGTGAATGTTAGATATTTGTGGTTCATAGAATTAGGACCATATTTGCACAGTGTAGCGTCAACAGAGGATTCCTAAGAACCTCTGCACGCTCAGGAAAGATGAAGGAAAGAGCAGACAGCAGAGAAAACAAAGGAGAGAAGAGAAGAGATATGGTACAAGAGAAAACAAAGCGAGAAAAATAAAGCAAGAGAGGTGGAACAAAAATAAATCCTATCCTATCTGTATATTGCAATCATATTTTGTAAATGAATGGCATGGATTCACGTTCAGCAGGGTAATGAGCCCAACCAAGATGTATTTTTCTAATATAAGTAGCTTACATTACTGCCTTTAATTGAAAGAGATACACTTTAGTTCTCAAAATTCCTTGTTGGCCTTTGGATTTTTAAAATAAATTTAAATCAGATTTTTAAGAAAATCATATATATATATAGAAAGGAACCTAAACCATGGATATAGATGAAAAAAATCAACTCAGCTGGTGGACGATATGAAATGCGGCTTGAGTTGAGAAGAAATAGTATCAGTAAAGGCAGCCTTGAAGGCAACCTTTAGTTCACTTTATTTCAGGCCAAAGTGGACATGGAACTGGAAACCCACCACCTCAGAGCTTGAAACATCTGCAAGTATCTTCAGATACTGTGTAATGCTTGGCCTGGAACTGAGAATCACAACACAAACAAAAACACATTTCATAGCTTCTTAGGTCATCACAGTTCTACCATCACTCAGAATGAAATTTGATTTCTCAACTAGCAAACGTACACAAAACATAATTCAAAGTTGAATTCACTTGCACCAATGGACATCATTTTACTGTCAGTGCGCACTTTAATTGCACATTTGCCTGTTTCAAAGTAGAAAAGCAAAGAGAATAAAATACACACTGCAAATCTCAGCCCAGAGAAAGCCCAATTGATTGGCCAGAACATCCACATCACAACCTGTTTTTCAATCAAGGTATGCCTTTGTGTAACTAACTATTGGTGATACACTGGAGATAGAAATTTAAACCAATTGATTTTTTTTTGGAATGCCTTTATGTGCTTTGAGATGGTAAATTAAGAACACTGCTTTCTAAAACAATTTGTAGAAGTACAAGTACTCTGATACCCACTTAACTTCGTTGACACCAGACCCTTAATCCCTTTTTAAATTCTTTCAGAAAAACATCAATGCATAGAATTACATAGAATTTTGCAATCCGGAAACAGGCCATTCGATCTCACTAGCCCGTGCCTGTGTCTATATCCACATGACCCTCCAATTCTCCTAACATCCTCTCCCAGGCCAGTCTATTAATAATAAATAATAATTTGCTATAAGACTTTCACATCAGGAGGACATCTCAAAGCACTTTACAGGATTTACAGTATTCCAATTGAAGGATTTATTGTATTTACTGTAAAGTGTAGTGACTGTATTTCGCAGGCGCATGCCTAAAATTCTCTTCCCCCTCAAGTATACAAAGGAGCATTCCTTCCAATATTAAATATTACACTAATGTAATTATTATTCGTATGCAAGGAAATCATCAATAATTTCTGAAAACTTAGCAGGGGCAAGCAAACAAACATTTCAGATGGTTCAGCAGAGACTTTTTGCTGAACTAGATAGGGTTTTATCCCATTTTATCCCATTAAATGTCACCTTCAGTCGACTGACCAAACCTGCTGTACATTTGGATAAACAGGAAAACCAATTCCAATTGAAGCAGAAAGTCAATCTTCCAGTACATCTCCTAGTCCCACATATTTGCCATTTCTCTCCCAGAACTCACTGTTGTTTTATTCCAAACTTTACCAAAATTACCATCTGCTAGACCCATTGATACAACGTTTCCAAAGTTGCTAAATTACTGATTACAAGTGGCACCTACATCTCGCCAGTAGTAGAGAGGGCATCTGTTGTGAGTGGACGGTTACTTATTCCCATTTCATATGAAATTTAAGAGGAAATTTGGAAGCAATTTCAATTCTGTTTTTCCTCACATAGACACCACCAAGTTAACAGTGTCCTTTGTAGTAGAAATGACAAGATCCAGCAATTGTTAGTTTTGGAACCTTTAATTTCAAAGATGAGGGTGAGTGGCAAAAGCACAGACTTCAGAAGGTCAATATACTGCCCTTTCACCGCTGAGATCTGGGTTCAAGACCAATTCTGGACGGCATGCATAAGACAGCTGTAAGGACCGCAAGTGAAATTACTTTTATCAGATTTTAATAGACACAGAACTACAACACCGATCCACAAATTCATACCGACAAGCGAGAGAACACAGTAACAGCTGGTGTGTGAAATGAAACTGTGACACCGCTATTGAGAACTCTGCTTGGGGTGGAAATTTACTTTGCACCTGACTTGTGTTGCACCAGATCTGATACTACTTGAAGTGTGAGTGCAAAAAATGTAAAACATATCCATTCTACATCACAGGCATCTTACACTGAGAAGCATGCACATACACAGACACTTATATACAAACATACATTCGCCAGCAAAAATAAACCGCTACTGTGCAGAATAAATATCATAATTCTGACCACTTGGTATATTTTGGTTCAGGTTTCCCTTTTAGCGGAATATTCCTGAGCAACTGCTCACAATATTTGAACGTGGGAGAGAGCACTTGAGATAAAACCCACTGTACGTGTAATTTGTCAAACAAGAAATTTCCTGAGGGCTTTGTTTTGGTACATGTAAACACTTAGGGGATGACATGTTGAAGCCGCAGTGTGCCTTGGCATTTACAGCAACATCAATACCTGCTCCGGCATGAGATGTCAGCTCAGGACAACATATACAGAGGAAGCACAGCTTTACAGATGTTTACTCTGCTCTTTCCTCTAATTCTCTGGTCCCTTGCTCCTGCTGCCTTACCTCTTTGATTCGCTTTACAAGAGCGTTCTGATCAAAAGCGACCGCCTCCGCACACTGATGTAGGTGATCCTGGTAGCGTAGACAGACCTTTAATACTTGCTGGGAGTCTAGTTTTTCCAATTTATTTGTGCTGGGAGTGGTCTGACCACTTAATAGCCCTGTAAAATACAAGAATAAAATTGGATCCTGAGCATCCAACAAAACCACAACAATTTACACACTTACTCACAATGGGCTCTAAATGTCCTGGCCAATACTCCCCCAGATAAAATTGATTATTCATTTCATGGCTATTTGTGGAATGCCTCTGTGCGCAATTGGCTGCCGCGTTCGCCCACAAATATATACAGTCGATTCACTTTACAGTGTGTTCTGTGAAGCGCTTTGGGACGTCCTCCCGACGTGAAAAGCGCTATATCAAGTGCAAGGATTATTATTATTATACAGTGAAGAAAATTCCTGCCAAGCACCGTGAGATGTACTCCTGATGTGAAAGATGCTATATCAAATGTAAGGAATATTATAAATTCCGTCTATGTTAAAAGAGGGAAAAAAAGTCTTAGAAGGAGTGGAATGCACCTTCAGGTCAAATTAGTTGCTCTCTTTCCAGCCCCTCCCCACTCTATTAGAAAATAATAGTTATTATTAAATACAGTACGTTAATCAAAATATCCTGGATTGTGGAGAAACTTTAGGTTTTCTTTTCAGGTAATAATAATCCTTGCATTTGATATAGCGGCGCCTTATCACGTCTTCGAGACATCTCAAAGCTCATCACAGAATAAACTGCAAAGTGAATTGACCATATATTTTTGCGGGCGAAATGCGGCAGCAAATTATGTGCAGCAGCACAAACGGTCGCGGACTGAGCGACCAAATTATTTTTATTGATATTGAAGGAATTATGACCCCTGGAAAAGCGATCCACCAATTGACCAACAACCGGGTTCCCACTCACCACTAGGCAAACAGAGGCGTGCAGAGGAAGGAAGCCCGCCCAACGTCTCGCCCTGCTAGGAATTGAACCCAGGAAGAAGCTACCAGCAACCTAGAGTAGATCCACTTTACCACAATAGGGAAAGGGGAGAAATGGGCAACTAGGACTAGCCTTGGTTCTAATTTAGCGCCATCTGATGCACAACAAAGTCAAGAAAGCCAATAGAACTGCGATTGTAGAGATCTGCTTTCAAAAAGCCACTCTAAACTGTCAGTAAAGTATTATTGGTGAAGCATAGACTCACCCAATACAGCAACATATTTCGAGTTTGCACAGCACCAGAAAATGAAATGTAAAACAACTTCATACTTTACATCGACAACTACGCAAGCTTCTCCCCTGCCGCCCCCACTCCCCAACCTGGAGCGGATCCAAATTCATTTAGAAATTTCCACATCAATAATGTCCAACATCTGGGATGCAGCATTTGCTAAAAATTGGTTCAGCTCTACACTTAACAGTAAATTATGAACAAAAACGTCATCAACACTACTGCATAGCTATTCAGCTCATTGGGCCACAGACAAAAGTGGCCCATTTGTCCCATCAAGGCTGCAACTCTTTAGGTTTCTATTCTCTTATATTTTACTGCCTTTTCTTTATTTCTTCATACCGTTAGATTGCATGTGTGTGTGTGTGTGTTTGTATCTAGGCGTTTCCTGCTTAAATACCTCAACTGGCATTCTACCAATCCCACCACGCAAGAAGAAATTCCCATAAGTATGAGACACTTGTTTTCACTGTGTGAAATAAAAAAATCACCTTCTAAGGGACTGGGAGGATACTTGCAAAAAAAAGAAAACAGAATTTCGTTTTGTCCAAACGATGTGTTACAAGTTTTCATTGCAACAAAGTCCAAAGTGCAAATTGTAGTTTGGGAATCCCAGGTCTCTCTGATTCACCCCCACTCTACCCACCCCTTTGGAATAGGAGGCAACGTACAGGATCAATTTTTTGTTTTTTAAAAAAATTGAACTGTGCTGTAAAGCTTCGCTCATTCAGCAAACAATGGCCTAACCACAGAATACAATTGAAAGCCGATGAAGGTCTGTAACAAATCAGTGTGGCAGGATCATCAAATACTTTACTCTCATATTTTGCCATTTGGGAACAACCACACACGACACATTAAACACATGCAGGAAAGGGAACCAGGCTACCATTTTCTCTCTTCCCCCCACTTCAAAAAAAAGCATAAATATTAATTTCCACTGTTTCTAGAAATTGCAACTTCCACCCCTAATCTCTTCCTGAATGCAGTAAGTTGAACTTTTCCACTTTTGAACAATCAGAAGTCATCAGTGGTATCTGATGGAATCCTGGAGGAGGGGAATTGAAGCCTGCTCAGTTTATTTATGAAATACGGAAAATAAATCCTGACATGGTATCCAGAAGTGTATGGTGCTGTACACCAGATGATTTGGAAAGAGTCACAGAGGGGACAGATTACTTCTTCTTTACACAAGCCAGAAAACTTCCTGTATTCCAGCACATGGTGTGCTAAAGTTGTGTGCTCACTAGGTGTCAGCCTGGCTCACTCAGTAGCTCTTGCCTCCGAGTCAGAAAGTTAGAAACAAAAAAATAGAAATCTACAGCACAGAAGGAGGCCAATCAGACCATCACAGAACAAGGGTATTGCTTCTATCTCACCCCCACTCTTTTTCCCCATAACCCTTCGAGTCTTCTCTTTTATATGCCTATCTACTTTGCTCTTGAAGACTACAATGGACTATGTGTCCACCACTCTACTCAGCAGGGCGTTCCACCCAACTGCTCTGGGTGAAAACATTTCTCCTAAGTTTCCCTTTAACTCTTCTTGTATAAGATCTTCAATCATAGCTACGTCCTCTGATTACTGACTCCCCAACTTCTCTCTAACTTAATGTAGCAAAGCTCCTCATGATTTTATACGGCTTAATCAGGTCTCTCCTCAACCTTCTCTACTCCAAGGAAAAAATGTTCAGTTTCTTCAATCTCTCCTCATAACTGTAGCCCTTCATTCTTCAGAAAGCATGATTCTTGTAAACCTCCTCTGCACTCCCTCCAAGGTCTTAGCATCCTTCCTGAGGTGAGGTGCCCAGAGCTGGACACAATACTCCAGTTGCAGCCTAACCAATCATATGAACTACATTAGCATGACTTCTTCACGTTTATACTCTATGCCCTTGAGCATAAAACCTGCATACTATTAACTTTCTTCACAGCCCTCGTCACTTGCATTGTCACCTTCAATGTATGTATGTATCTGCACTCCCAAATCCCTTTGTTCCTCAACTCATTTTCAAGATACTTCCATTTGATATATACTCAATATAAAGTTGTAGGTTCAGGCCCTACATTGCATTCACAGTCTAGACTCCCACTCCGGTGCAGTGCTGAAGAGTTTCTCTCAGTGTCCGAGCCAACAGTCCCTCGGTAAAAAACTGGTCATTCATTTCATGGTTGTTGTTGGACAGTGCCATGCACAACGGCTGCCACATTCACCCACCTACACTTGAAAGAAAGTTTATGAAAATGTTTCAATGTATAAGGCACTAGTTGCCTGCACTGTCAGAAATGAAACACTGTACATACGCTGCAATCTTAAAACACTGACTATGAAAATTCGATCCCTGGAGAAAATGGTCTCTGGTCACGGTATGTTGTCAAGTCTAAACAAATGATGCTGAAAAACCACATGACTGATCACTTTGCTAGAATTTGTTTTCCTCCTTTATGCAATTAGCTTTAAAGACGAAGACCTCAGTGGTTTGGAATGTACTATGTTTGGAGCAGACAAACTTAGTTTGTTGCAATAGAATGGAAATAACCCAATAGATGGGCAAAAGCCCATCTATTGGGTTATTTTTTGAGGTTTTTTTTTGAGGCTGTGTGTGTGGGGGGGGTCTTTCCTATTTCCTTGTATTTGGTATTGTGTCTTATCATGTTGGCTAGATGTATTCAAGCACTTCACATGATTTTACTGCAGTTAAGTGACTGTTTTTGTAAGAAACACAGAGGCCAATACTTGTACAACAATGTCCCACAAAAAGCCGTGCAGAGAATGACCAATATTTATCTGGTAGCTCGTTGGCCAAATAGGAGGAGAAATACAATGCTTTTCTCATTACACATTCATACACACATTTCATCAGCGATCACCAGATAAGGTTCAAGAACAGGAACCCTGGCTGATTTTATCCCTCCTTAGCCCAGGGACAATTGGAGAACAACTCCAAATATTGGCCTATCCAAATATTTCTCTTTCATAGATCAGCTAACCTGTGTTTGCATGGCTCAATATTACACTGGGCAATTGCTTTTCCAACTAAGAAACTTAAGTATGATGATGGGTTTCCGTTTGAGTCAGAAAATTCCCCAAAGCATTATACATTGGAGGAATGAATTGCGAAACTCTTCAGATTCCATAAACAATTTTATTCCCAATTCTCCCATAATAAAGTTTCATTTAGCATTTAGTAATTAGTTTTAAATATTTGTCAAGGCGGCCTAGAAGGCACCACACAGCACACTTCAGTCCAAATCCTTGCACAATGTTAAGAACAGGTTGGGAGGATGTGGGGTGGGGGATATTTCACATTTTTCTGAAGTGGTAAAATAGCCAAAACAGGCTGTGTTCAGTTCCCAGTTCTTATTTCTTTTTTAAATGAAGTGTTTAGCTAGATTCAAATTCTCTCTGGTGATTTCAGGTTACATTTATTGGAAGGTTACAAAGCATGTTAACTATAGCAGATTACACAAAAACTGCAAAATGAGGGGAAAATAATATGATAATCCTTACATTTTGTATAGCGCCTTATCATGTCGTTGAGCCATCTCAAAGTGTTTCACAGATTATACTGTAAAGTGAAATGACTGTATATTTTGTGGGCAAAACACGGCAACCAATTATGCTAGCATTGTCCCACAAACAGTCATCGATTGAGTGACCAAATTAGTATTTTTTTTAAGCGGTTATTACCTCCGGAAAGCAATCCGTCAATCGACTAACAACCAGGTTCCTTCTTACTGCTAGATAAACAGAGCGTGTGGAGTAAGGAAACTTGCCTCAGGTTTCACCCGGCCCAGGAATTAAACCCAGGTCCTCTCACTTGCGAGGCAAGTGCTCTAATCAATATGCCTCAGGATTCCCAAGGAGCTGTGGTGAAGCTACATCCAACA